GATCCATTGACAACTCTATGAATAGTTATGGAAGACCTCTCTCCGAGTTTTTGTTATGATAGATTTAGTCCATACAAAGAGGTCTTAGACTAAAACAATGTTAACAAAATCTGCTATGTTTACTTTAAATACAAAAAAGACTTGCAAATTTTTGCTATAATTGTGGCAGAATTGGACGCATCATGAAGGACCGTGAGTTCGATAGTGGTGATGTGGGCTATCTATGGTTTGAATATTGACCCGAATCCGAAACTACTCTCATATCATTCGGTGAATTTTATATAAAATTTTTAGATTATGATTTTTGTAATTCATGTATTAAATAAATCAAATATTATTGGAGCATAAACAAACTGGCACCGTTTGACACTTGCGAGAGATCAAGAATTAAAAAAGCTAGAAAATGGAAGGTGGTGATATGGGTGTTTAGCTAAAGTAAATTGGAGATGGACACCAATTAGACTAGCAATTAGGTAATAAGATGGGGTCTGGAGTATCTAAACTGATGAGCAACTTAAATACTTAAATTTCTTGGGATCAGTTTTGGTTTTAGAATTGAAATGAAGGATCCTAAATTTCTAACCATTAATAGGCAAAATTTGACTGTGATAAAAAAGTTTCAACCTTTACTAATTATCCAACTACTAAACCTAGGTGGAGTAAGAGATTAAAAATAGGAAATCTAAGCAAAGAAAGGGATGGAAAAAAGAAAAATTGTGACATTCGGGTCCAGCAGCTATCACCGTCTCACATTCAAATAGAAAAACAGAGCTGATTTCAAATCATTTTCCACAGCTCCAAACCGCGTAGAGGGAAAAGGAAAAAAAAAAAAAAGATTAAAAGAGTTACTGTTATATATATATATATAAAAAGGCAATATAATACAGATGAATGATTTTACTCATAATATAACAAATTATTTCACTATCAAATATTTTAATATGCTTAATCTTATAATACAATATTCACAACAATCACAATAAATACTCTTAGAATAATCTTCTTGTTCAATAAAAGAGATTATTATCAGTAATTTGTAATTCATTAAAATTAATAAAAACTCTGTTATTCTTTCAATTTAGTTTTTACTGATTATGATTTTGTATGTAGTCTTTGTCAGTTAACAACAATTGTTAACAGAGCCATTAAGTCTTCAATTTATTTGGATTAAAGAAAACTAAATTCTAATCCTTCTTTTTCATTCAATCCACAACACTTTTAGTTTTTTTTTCTAATTTTTTCAAACCTCGTGTGGTTTTAGCTTTCGTTACTTTTTTTTTTACTTGCACATTCACATATGCATTTTATACATGAAATAAAATACCTCAATTTATTATGATATAATCAGATAATTTTACAATCTATTCTTATTTCTCATTTTTAATATTTGATTGAATGATCTTCCTTCAATATACTATTTTGTTTATTTTTTTCCATTTAAACTAATAGATAAATCCCATAACTTTCATATTATATATTTTGACGTCAAAAATACCCTTCATTTTAAATAGATTTAATAGCACATCTATCCTTATATATCAAATAAATCGTTATACAATGAGCATATTATTCAAATTTAACAAAATTTATGCATGTTAAGTTGGGCCTGGGGCGAGTATTTAAAGTTGGATTCTACCCATCTAATTTCAAAGTTTACGAGTTCTTAGTCCAAAGTTTAAAATTTGAGCATTGTTTACACATAAAATATCAAAAAAACAAAAAACAAAAAAACAAAAAAAAAATAGTAGTAGGTTTGTTTTGATGTTGACTGTTGATTAAGTAATGAATAAAATTAGATTTTAGAGTTCATATGCATATCACTATCAAAAATTTAACAATAAAGCTATTCTAAATCTCAAAATTCATTAATTAATTACATCTAAGTTTTACAGATGAATATGTAATTTTTTAATTAATTCCTAATTTAAATTAAATGTTTCTAACTCCATTTTAGATTTTGAATCTTACTGGCCTAGTTCCTTGTTCTCTTTTTCCTTTTTAATTAATTTTTTTCTTTGTTGCTAACCGACTTTCAAATATTTATGATTATTATTTATTTGTTGAATTTTTTTTTTTTTGGAGATATGAATTATTATTAATTTCAGAATTGCTACCTATTATTAAACATAACTACAAACCAAAAATAGGCATTGATTCAAAGATTTTAAGGTAAGGAGTTGGTTGTAACTTTAAAGTGTCGTTTGATAATCGGGAATAAAGTGGTGAAATGAGAATGGAAGTTTTATTTCCACATTGTAGTTGTTTGGTTAAAAGAAATGAAGTAGGAATGGGAATGAAAATTTACACATAACTTCATTCGCACATAAGATGTGAGAATAAAAAACAAGGAATGAGAATGAATTTTTTTTTCAAAATAATAATATATTTTATTTATTTATTATCTATTAACTACTTTTGCCACCATCACAACTACAACCATCACCACCACTATCTTCATCACTATCATCACCACTTTTCAACCACCATCACTATCACCGTCATTACCACCATTACCACCACTACAACCACCACCACTATCACCGCAACCACCATCATAACTATCATAACCACTATTACCACCATAATCACTACCACTACTAACATCATTACAACCACCACCACCATCACAATTATCATTATCATAATCACAACCACCATCACTACCGCAATCATTACCGCCACCGTCACAATCACTACCATCATCTTTATTATTTTTATAACTATTATAGTTTAATTAAATTATTTTTTAATCATTATTTATATTTGTATACAAAATCGGATATTAAAAAATTTAAATTGCATTCCAATTCCTTATTAGTATTTCAAACACGGTATTGGAATACAAATACCATTTCGATTTCTTAATTTTCATTCGATTTCGCATTCCCATTCCCATCACTTTATTCATGATTACCAAACAACACATAAGAAGATATCAATCACCAAAAAACACTTTTTTCTAGAAAAAATACACTAGTTTAGTCCTAAAGTTTATATCCTAAAAATTTTATTATTGATAAAATTGATCGTAAGTCAAAATTTCAATTTTTATTTCTTAAGTGAATTTTTTTTTGTCTTTTTATCATTTTTTTTTACCTAGAATTTTTTTTTTTTTGGTCCTTTTCCTTTCCTTTTCATTTTTTCCCTATTCTTTTCATCTTTCTCTCTCTCCCATCATTTTATTTCCCTCTTATTTTTATCTTTTTATCATTTTTTTTTATCTCTTGGTTGGTGGAGAATTGTCATTAGTTATTAAAAATTAAGAGACCCGATAAGCTATTCACATATTAAACATCAAATTTAATTATTGAAAGAAAATTAAAAACTAAGTATTAACTCGAATAAATAAATAAGCATAAAGAACTCAGAAATTCTAAAAATTAAATCTAAGCTAGGGATAAAAATAAAAGGCATGTATTGAAATTTAAGAATTGATTCACCTAGGAAAATAACTAAAATTAAGATTATTGGGCCTTTTGGACCCAATGGGCTTTCGATCCATTGGGCCAGGCTCGCTAGGTAGGTCTGCCTTGCCTCTCTGGCTTGGGCAAGCCAAGTCTCATACGGGCTGGGCCAAAGCCTAGCCCATCCAGCCTCCACACGTTCTGGGCCAAAGCCCAGCCCTTCCTCATTTTATTTCTTCACCCACACCAACCCTAGGGACAAACAAAACAAAACAATCCTAATCGCATGGCCTTCTCCTTCATCTCATAAATCCAAACCCTAGTTCTTCTCTCTTCCCTCAACACAATCCCAACCTTAAATGAAAACCCAAAATTGAACAGAGAAATCTTAAAATCGAGCCTTTACACAACCTCAGATCCCTTTTCTCTCTTTGATCTCACAAATCCACAAAACCTCGGTCACATCCCCTGTCTCAATCCAGTCCCAATCCTAAGTTCAAGCCCAGAATCGAACCAGTAAACCTAAAATCAAACCTTTACAAGCCATCAGAATCCTTCTCTGGCCTTTCTCTCACAAGCTCAAAACACAACACAGAGGGAAATTAGGGGGAGTTGGGTTTTTGTGCGATGGCAGTGATGAAATCACTGTCATCGTTTGTTTTGGAACGATTGGCAGCTGCATCAATGTAGTTGAGGCTACAAAACCTGGCCCAACCGGAGCAGCTCGAGAAGGAGAAAGAGGCTGAGGACAAGAAAGCAAAGAGGGAAGCCGGACCTGGGACCGGAGATGAGATTGCGATATTAAATGGGAAGATTGAGTGCCAAAATGAGAAGGGGGAAAAACCCATTTGTGGACACTAGTGATTTATATGGATTTACGAAGGAATAGTCAGTTTTCTGATGGAATCAAAAGGTCGAATAAGAATATCATACTGACGTGGAGAAGAATGCGATTTTTAGTAAAGAAAATATGGGTATGGGGTGCTGATGGTATTGACCTGGGGAGTAAGAGTTCTTTTACTAGTGTGGGAAAATGTAATTGGTGGTGGTGGTGGTGGTGGTGGTAGTAGTGGAGTAGGGGTGTGAAGTAGTAGAATTTTTCTAGAATTACTCTTACTCCCCTCCTCAATGCCAGCAGCATCCCATGTTTTCTTTACAAGCTCGAAGCACTCAGTTTACTAAAAATCTCATCCTTCCCATTCTCATTTTTCTCCACATCAGTATGATACTTCTTCTTCAACCTCCTGAAAGCATTAAAATGGAGTGATTGCTTCACAAATTCATAGAAAATTGATGTAACTGTTAAGAGCACGGTATAGAGGGTGCTGAGTGAAGTTTACCATGGTCATTAAGTCATCGCCGCCACATCCCTCAGCACCAACTTATCAGTGTCTATCTCTGAGTTCTCCTTCTCTCACTTTTTCTTCTTCTTTTTTTATTTGGTTAGTATTTTTCATCTTTATCATTTTTGTTTTGGCTTGTAATTTAGAAGATTTAGAAGAAAAGTAAGGAAGATTAATTGATTTATTTATTTAGTTTTTGGTTTTGGCAGGAGTTGAAGTGTTACCCGGAATTCCATTGTTCATGCACTGAATAATGGAAGAAGGCTCCGCATTTCACGGGTACCTACAAAAAATGCTTTCTTTTCTTTTTCTTTTTCATGTTTTCTGAACTGGGTTTTTTCTATATAGCTTAATTTGAAGTTGAATTTTAATGTTTTACAGAAAAGATTCGGTTTTGTTTCCTATGGTTGATAATTTGTTGGGACTGTTTATGTTTTCTCAGGCAACTTTAGGGTTTGGTATTTCATCGAAGAACATTGTGGTTCAGTGTAACGTAGGAAATTTCAGTCCTGTTTTTCTTTGTTCTTCGTTTCGTGAAAAGGCTGAGATATCCCAATTGCATTTGGAATTCGAGGAGAGGGTTGAAGTTGTTTTCGAAGTTATTACTTGCTTTATATATAGGAAAAAATTTACTTGCTTTCTTCCTGATTTAGAAAACCAAAAAGGTTCTTTGGTGGCATATGAGCTGCAGGAAAGTAGGAATGATACTGACTTGGAGTTTTTCAAGCACAGCACCATATCTGCTGCCACAAACAATTTCTCTCCGGCTGGCAACCTGGACAAGGAGGCTTTGGCAAACTTGGACAATGCCTTATAAGGCTTTGGCCATCCACGTTGGCAGTTTTTTGCATGTTGAATAGTACGGAAACAACTATTCCTGTTCCAAAACAACCAGCATTCATTTTTAAAGAACCTTGCTGTAATCCTCACAAACTCTTAGATGTAGAAGAAGGATCTTCTTGTTCTGTAAATGAGATGACTATTAGTAGGGTTGTAAGTCGCAAAAGCCAATATAATTAAGCTCTGTTTCTCTATCAATTTAGTTTTCACTAGTTATGATCTTGTGTGTATGTAGTCTTTGTCAACTAAAACAATTGTTTTATGAATCTCTTAAAATAGAATAAACCTATTTAATACTGCGCCTTGTCTGATGTGTTGGCAGCACAATATTTTTTTTGTTTTTTTTTAATTTTCATGCCTAAAACTAAGTTTAGTTATAATTTGTATGAATAAATAATTTGTCCACTTTTAGTGTTCCATCAAAAGAATAGTTTGGTCCTTATAATTATACAACTTATTATTATTATTATTATTTGTGTTTTTCTTATAATTAGAAAGACCAATTATTCTACTAATTCAAAATTTGACCCAAAAAAAAAAAAAAATTAAAGGAAAAAAAAACGTTATAACAGATAGAGAAAAAATCTGTTGAAATTTTCTTTGAAACAAAAAAAATCGAAATTTTATCAAGCAACATTGTGGGGGAGCCCAAAATGGAAGAGAAGGAAAGTGATGAGGACCAGAGTAACTATAACCCCATTATCAGCAAGAAGCACGATAGGATCATATGAAATTGCTGGGAATTATTGATATCAGCAGCTCTGAACCTCTCCGTCCTGCCCAAAAACATTACCATCAGATAAGTTCATAATTTGGATTATTAAATGTTTCAAACCAAAATCTAATATAGAAGTTCCGTTGCATACATATAAATAAGAGTTGGCGTCCATGCCCCTATTAAGCTCTACTATCGTTGCGCTGAACAGTCGGCTTCATCTATTTTCTTGCTTTCTGACAAATTTACTCATCCGAGAAGGACAGCAACAAACTGCACTGGTCACGCATTTATCCACTATCCAGCCTAGAGACCATTCTACAGAAGCTTTAAATAATCACTCCCTGGCTTCTTTCAGTTTTAGAGGTTTGGCTGAGCAAACAATATTAAAATAGAGCCAACTGGTTGTTAGGTATTGGAAGGGAAAGCATCGCTAGATAACAAATCACAGAATGATATCAGAAGGATCAGTTTGATAAGTACTCTTACATTACGCCAGCTTATGATCAGGGTCGTTGTGGGTGGGTTCTGTCTCATCTGAATCTGGCGTTTACGACAATGATGATCTACTAATTTACACAGGAAAATATATTACTAAACTAAACCAAAGTGCCCCTAGTTGACTGCTGCTTGCAGTCTACAAATTAAAGAGACTGACACGACAAGTCATTTCTTTGGACTTTGAAAATTGCCAAGAACAACCCAGGTTTCAAAGCTAACTCAAGCGGATCCCACGATGTCATTTTTCTATCCCTAAGCGCTTTACTACCTGGTCGGATAACCATAGATAATGCTCTGGGGAAACCAGTTAGGTCTGATAAAAAAATCATTTTTCTATTTGACATTGACACATATTGCCGGCGTAGTCTTCCACTATATAGAAAATTAAACAAAACGGTATCTTGGTGACGAGGAATTTTATATTATTTATAAAGTAATTACCGTAAGTTATTTTATAAAAAAAAAGGTTGACAAAAAAATGAGAAAAATTGGAGAGAAATTTTGGCCTTTGAATGGAAATCTTCTTATAGTAATTATAATATAATATATTTACATTACTTAGTACAAGAGTATTCAAAAATTTCTCACCAAAGGCTAGCCAAAATCCAGTTTACCCCATCATGGATTCTGAAAAACTGTTTCTGCTTCTCTCTCTTCTAATGCTCCAATTCTCATTTTGTACGTCCCAAGACTCCATAAAGACGAACCAAACCATTAAAGAAGGTGATCTTCTAATTTCCAAGGGAAATACTTTTGCTCTAGGATTTTTTAGTCCAGGCAGTTCTAGCTATAGATATCTTGGGATTTGGTACCATAAAGTACCAGGAAAGACTGTGGTGTGGATAGCAAATAGGAATAATCCAATCATTGGCTTCTCGGGGTTTCTCTTTATCAACCAATATGGAAACCTCGTTCTGTTTGGTAACCGTGACCAACAAGGTCCGGTGTGGTCCACAAATGTTTCCATGGAAGAAGCAGATGATTGTGTCGCTGAGCTCTTGGATTCTGGAAATTTAGTCTTGGTTAAAGATGGGAGTAAAAGAGTTGTATGGCAAAGTTTTGATTATCCCGCAAATGTTCTGCTACCGGGAATGAAAATTGGGCTGAATCGGAAAACAGGATTTGAGTGGATCCTAACATCGTGGAGATCAGCTGATGACCCTGGAATTGGAAATGTTTCAGTTATGATCAATCCGAATGGCTCACCACAAATCTTTTTATATAAGGGTACGAAGCCATATGGTCGTGCTCCCCCTGGCCATGTAGAGGCCAGCCCAGTTTATTCAACACAAGTTTTGTGAATGATCAAGACCAAATATACTCTACCTATACTGTTCCTGATGATTCTCTTGTCCTAACAATAATAGTAGATTATACAGGATTTGCGAAGGTGTTAACATGGGATGAAAGTGAATCAGGTGATGGCCAATGGAAGGAGCTCTGGAGAAACCCTCAGTATCAATGTCATTTTTATGGACGGTGTGGTCCTAATAGTATGTGTGAACCTACTGATATAAGTAAATTTGAATGTGCGTGTTTACCTGGCTTTGAGCCCAGGTACCCAAGGTACTGATTTCTAAGAGATGGTTCTGGTGGTCGTGTCAGGAAACGACTAGAATCCTCTTCTGTCTGCGAGCACGGAGAAGGGTTTTTGAATGTGGAAAATTTAATTCTTCCTGATACTACCAAAGCAGTTTGGATGGACAAGAGCATGAGTCAGGCAGACTGTGAACTAGAATGCAAGACGAATTGTTCATGCGCTGGATACGCAAGCATTGAAATTCCTGGGAAAGGGGTTGGCTGTTTGACTTGGTATGGGGAATTATTAGACATGAAATATGATATGACTGAAAGTTATGATCTATTTGTTCGTGTTGATGCATATGAATTAGGTACAATTTTTCTGCCAAGTGATAACTCAAATATGATTATTCTATGTTGATGAAATATGACATTCTGGCCATTTTGGCACCGTCTGTTGCATCGCTATGGTTTCTCATTAGCCTATTTGCTTTTTTGTGGCTCAGGAAGACGGCACGAAAAGGTAAAGAGTACCAAATCATGTATTTATTCTTCTCGGGTTGTGACTATCAGCCTATTTACAAATTGTAATTTGCCTATTAGCCTATTTGTTTTTTTATGTTTTTATGGGAGAAATTCATTTTTTCCCCTCATGATCGAAAATGTTTCTAAGGTACAACTACATATGAACTACGGGGAAGTGGCAATGCTACAGACTTAGAATATTTCAAGCTCAGAACCACAACAGCTGCCACTAACAATTTTTCTCAAGTTAACAAACTTGGCCAGGGTGGTTTTGGCTTAGTTTATAAGGTAGAGTGTCAAAAAAACTGAATGGCTTCTCAATTTGCTGTTTGTTTTTCTGTTCTTGTCATAATTGTCATTTAGAGGTCTGACGTTTTTGCAACATTATTTTAGTGTCTGCTACCTAACGGAGAGGAGGTTGCCGTAAAAAGGTTATCCAGAAATTCAGGACAAGTAACAGAAGAATTTAAAAATGAAGTTACAGTAATTGCAAAGCTACAACACAGGAATCTTGTGAAACTTCTGGGTTGCTGCATTGAGGGTGAAGAACAAATGTTAATTTATGAATTCTTGCCAAATAGAAGCTTGGATTCTTTCATCTTTGGCAATTCCTTTTATGTATTTATTGCCCTGCTTTACACTAATTGTTTGATTTTAGCTCTCTGAGAGATGATTTTTTCAAACAGATGAAGAAAGAAGATTGTTATTAGATTGGGAAAAACGCTTTGATATTATTATTGGTATTGTTCGTGGGATTTTATATCTACAGCAAGACTCCAGGTTGAGAATCATTCACAGGGATTTAAAATGTAGCAACCTCCTATTGGATGTGGAGCTGAAGCCAAAAATATCAGATTTTGGGATGGCAAAAATATTTGAAAGCCACCAAATCCAAGAGAGGACAAGTAGAGCTGTAGGAACATGGTAAGTACATTTGCACTAACTCCTAAGCACAAGTATCAAGAAATATACTAAAACTTGGGAATTGTCCTTATTTTTCTGATGCAGTGGCTACATGTCACCAGAGTATGCAGTGTTTGGACAATTTTCCGTAAAATCAGATGTTCTTAGTTTTGGGGTCATGTTGTTGGAGATTGTAAGTGGCAAGAAGAACAATAGATTCTATCAGCAGAATCCTCCCATAACCTTGATTGGATATGTGAGTTATAATGGAATCTTTTCTGCTCATAGCTAGCTTTCAAAATTTACAATTTTTAATATCGTCTACCTTCATTTCCTGTATCTTAATGATTTATATGACAACACAGGTGTGGGAATTATGGAGAGAAGACAAAGCATTGGAGATTGTTGATTCATCAGTAAAGGACTTGTGTCATTCTCAACAAGCCTTGAAATGCATACAAATTGGTCTGTTGTGCGTGCAAGAAGAAGCCACGGACAGACCATCCATGTTAGCAGTTGTTTTCCTGTTGAATAACGAAACAGCCATTCCTTCTCCTAAACAACCTGCATTCCTTTTCACAGAATTTCGGGAGAATCCTCATATGGCAGTTGAGGTTGAAGAAGGATCATGTTCTATAAATGAGTTGATAATTTCTGCAATTTTGAGTCGGTGAAGATGTGTTTATATATATATATATATATGTGCTCCGAACAACTGCTCATCGGAAGACATTCCTTCAGAATAATGCGATTAGTTGCTATTATAAAACCAGCAATTGTTATTTTTTTAGTTTTACGTACAGTTTGATGGTAATAGAATATATATGATATTTTTTTAAGATTTTAGTTTGAATATATATATATATATATATATATATCTGATTATATTATTTTTATTATTTAAAATTTATTTCTTTAATTATTTGTTTCTTATTAAAATTCTCATCAAAGTTAATTTTTTAATTTTAAATAATTTTATTTGTTAATAAATTTGATTTTTTTTATATATGGCTTTTGAAATAAAATTTTAGAATATAATTATTTTATTTTTAAAATATATTATTATAATTTATATGATTGCTTATTTTTATGATTTTTAAATGAGAATAGCGTAGTTGCATATATAAATACCGATGTGTGTGAGTGAGAGAGAGCTGAAAGTGTATTTTAGATAATTTGAATTCACTTTTTCAAAAATAATATTTAGTTAAAAAAATAATTTGACTTAGCTTTTTTTAAAATTAATAATTAGTTAAAAACATCACAGGTTTTATTTGATTATATATATATATATAATCAGAATTTATCAAAATCAAATTTATAGTAGTTTTTATTTAAATTTATTCACTTCGACATATTTATGCGATTTAATTGGGTTTTTTTTTATATATTTTATATACTCTGAATTTTCTAAGTAATATATATATATATACTCTATTGAGGGGGAGAGAGAGAAAGAGAGAGAGAGCTAAAATTATGTTTTAGATAATTTGACTTAATTCTTTTAAAAAATAATAATTAGTTAAAAAATAAATTGGTTCATTTTTTTAAAAAAATTAATAATTAGTTAAAAAATTCACATGGTTTATTTGGTTATATATATATAGAATTTATCGAAACTAATTTTCTAATAGTTTTTATTTAAATCTATTTACTTCAATATATTTCATAGGATTTAAGTGGATTTTTTTTAATATATTTTATATATTTTGAATCTGCTAAGTACGATATATAGTTTTGTTAAAAATTAATTATATATGTACACATAATATCAATTATTTGTTATTTATTTTTTATATTCTAAAATCTTTATTTTTAAATAAAATAATTTAATTAATATTTTGAAAGAACCTCTTAATTATTCAAATATAAATTTTTATACTAATATTATAAATTATTTTATTAATAAATATATATAAATTAAATAAATTTACTTAATATATAAATTTTATTGACATTAATCTTTAAAAATAAAATATATATTTGTAAGGCGTATCACACTATAAGAATCATGTATTCCGTGAACATGATGGTTGTGTGAATGCGGCATAATATGAGCATTTAACTAGTAGAAAAGCAAACCAAAGTGCCCCCAGGTGACTGCTGCCTGCAGTCCACAAATTAAAGAGACTGACGCGGCAAAGTCATTCTTTAGATTTTGGAAATTGCCAAGAACAACCCAGGTGTCAATCTAACTCAAGCGGATCCCACGACATTACTCGATGTGCTTTTTCCATCCCTAAGCGCTTTTGTACCTGGTAGGATAATAATAGATAATGCTCTGAGGAAACCAGTCAGGTCTGATAAAAAAATCATTTTTCTATTTGACACTGACAAATATTGACACCGTGTCTCTTGGTGAGGAGAAATTTTATATTATTTATAAAGTAATTACAGTAAGCTATTTTATTAAAAAAATAGACAAAAAAATGAGAAAAATTGGAGAGAAATTTTGGCCTTTGAATGGAAATCTTCTAATTACTAACTCAATACCCAAACCTTGCCACAGGTAAGTTTACCATATCCATGTTTTAATATTTTAAATAATTTAAAAATATAAATATAAAATTAAAATTAATTAATACTCATTATAAAAAAAATTATTTAATTTATTATATATATATTTCTTAAGAATATTTTTTATTTTGATAAATAAAAAATATATGCAATTAATTATATATTTTAAAAAATTTAATTAGAAGGAGGTTTTTAATCAATTTATATTAGAAGAATATTTAATTTTAGTTCATGAATATTTATAAAAATAGAAAAAGTAACCATTGATGATGGGAAAAAAATATTTTGATTAAATAATAATTAATGAAAAAAACCCAGTCTGAAAAAAAAAGATAGGGACCTTTTGGTAATATTAATTAAAATTAAGAACTGTTTTATATAAAGTAATAATTTAGAGGATCAAAGTATAAAATATTGATAAATTGACAAAAATCACTTATTATTTTTTTTTTTTGAAAAACTACGTCGTTTTGGTTTCATTGTAACAGGAGCTTAGCTACGGTGAAACCATATTCCGTTTTAGTTTATGTAATTAACTCAATACTCACGCATTGCCGTGAGTAAGTTTATCATATCCATGTTTTAATATTTTAAATAATTTAAAAATATAAATGTCAAATAAAAATTAATTAATACTCATTGTGAAAAAAATGTGTAATATATATATAATTGAATTGAAATATTTCTTAGGAATATTTTTTATTTTGATAGATAAAAAATATATGCAATTAATTAATTATTTTTAAAAAATCCAATTAGAAGGAGGTGTTTAATCAATTTATATTAAAAGAATAGTTAATTTTAGTTCATGAATATTTATAAAAATAGAAAAGTAACCATTGATGATGGAAAAAAAAAACTTATTTTGATTAAATAATAATTAATGAAAAAAACCCAGTCCAAAAAAAAAAAAAATTGACAGAGAGCTTTTGGTAATATTCATGAAAATTAGGAATTATTTTATATAAAGTAATAATTTAGAGGATCAAAGTGTAAAATATTGACAAATTGATAAAAAATAACTTTTTTTAGCAAACGACACCGTTTTGGTTTCATTGTATCACATGCTTGGCTACAGTAAATCCATATTCTGTTTTAGTATATGTAATAATAATAATAATAATATACTATATTTACATTACTTAGTACAAGGGTATTTAAAAATTTCTTACCAAAAGCTAACCAAAATCCAGTTTACCCCATCATGGATTCTGAAAAACTGTTTCTGCTTCTCTCTCTTCTAATGCTCCAATTCCCACATTGTACATCCCAAGACTCCATAAAGACGAACCAAATCATTAAAGAAGGTGATCTTCTAATTTCCAAGGGAAATACTTTTGCTCTAGGATTTTTCAGTCCAGGCAGTTCTAGCAATAGATATCTTGGGATTTGGTACCATAAAGTACCAGGAAAAACTGTGGTGTGGATAGCAAATAGGAATAATCCAATCATTGGCTTCTCAGGGTTTCTCTTTATCAACCAATATGGAAACCTCGTTCTGTTTGGTAACCGTGGCCAACAAGTTCCGGTGTGGTCCACAAATGTTTCCATGGAAGTAGCAGATGATTGTGTGGCTGAGCTCTTGGATTCTGGAAATTTAGTTTTGGTTAAAGATGGGAGTAGAAGAGTTGTATGGCAAAGTTTTGATTATCCCACAAATGTTCTGCTACCGGGAATGAAAATTGGGCTGAATCGGAAAACAGGATTTGAGTGGACCCTAACATCATGGAGATCAGCTGATGATCCCGGAATTGGAGATGTTTCAGTTAGGGTCAATCCGAATGGCTCACCACAAGTTTTTTCATATAACGGCACGAAGCCATCTAGTCGAACTCCCCCATGGCCTTGGAGAAGCCATGGGGGCGGCCAGCCCAGTTTATCCAACAAGAGTTTTGTAAATGATCAAGACGAAATATACGCTAGTTTTACTATTCCTGATGATTCTCTTGTCCTAATAACAGTAGTGGATTATTCAGGATTTGTGATAAAGTTAGCATGGCAGGAAAGTGAATCAAGTGATGGCCAGTGGAAGGAGTTCTGGAGAGCTCCTCAGTATCGATGTGATTTTTATGGATGGTGTGGTCCTAATAGCATATGCGAACCTACTGATGGAAGTAGATTTGAATGTTCGTGTTTACCTGGGTTTGAGCCCAAGTACCCGAGGGACTGGTTTCTGAGAGATGGCTCTAGTGGATGTGTCAGGAAACTACTAGAATCCTCTTCAGTCTGCAAGCACAGGGAAGGGTTTGTGAAGGTGGAAAATTTGCTTCTTCCTGACACTAGCGCAGCGGTTTGGGTGGATATGAGCATGAGTCGGGCAGACTGTAAACTACACTGCCAGACGAATTGTTCATGCGCTGCGTACGCAAGCATTGAAATTCCCGGGCAAGGGGTTGGCTGTTCGACTTGGCATGGGGAATTATTAGACATAAAATATGGTACGGCTGAAAGTTATGATCTATTTGTTCGCGTTGATGCATATGAATTAGGTACAGTTTTTCTGCTCGGTGATGAATCAAATAGGATTATTCTATGTTGATGCATAAAACGTTCCTTTATCCTGTTAAGCAGCTGAATATAACAGGAAGTCAAATGGTTCTGGTAAAAGGAAGGACATTCTGGCCATTTTGGCACCGTCTGTTGCGTCGCTATGGTTTCTCATTAGCCTATTTGCTTTTTTGTGGCTCAGGAAGACGGCACAAAAAGGTAAGAGTACCAAATCATGTATTTATTCTTCTCGGGTTGTGACTATCAGCCTATTTACAAATTGTAATTTGCCTATTTAGCCTATTTGCTTTTTTTATGTTTTTATGGGAGAAATTCGTTTTTTTCCCCTCATGATCGAAAATGCTTCTAAGGTACAACTACATATGAACTACGGGGAAGTGGCAATGCTACAGACTTGGAATATTTCAAGCTCAGCACCATAACAGCTGCCACTAACAATTTTTCTCCAGTTAACAAACTTGGCCAGGGTGGTTTTGGCTTAGTTTATAAGGTTGAGTGTCAAAAAAACTGAATGGCTTCTCAATTTGCTGTTTGTTTTTCTGTTCTTGTCATAATTGTCATTTAGAGGTCTGATATTTTTGCAACATTATTTTAGGGTCTGCTACCTAACGGAGAGGAGGTTGCAGTAAAAAGGTTATCCAGAAATTCAGGACAAGGAATAGAAGAGTTTAAAAATGAGGTTACAGTAATTGCAAAGCTACAACACAGGAATCTTGTGAAACTTCTGGGCTGCTGCATTGAGGGTGGAGAACAAATGTTAATTTATGAATTCTTGCCAAACAGAAGCTTGGATTCTTTCATCTTTGGCAAGTCCTTTCATGTATTTGTTGCCCTGCTTTACACTAATTGTTTAATTTTAGTTCTCTAAGAGATGATTTTTTTGAACAGATGAAAGAAGAAGATTGTTATTGGATTGGGAAAAACGCTTCGATATTATTGTTGGTATTGCTCGTGGGATTTTATATCTACACCAAGACTCAAGGTTGAGAATCATTCACAGAGATTTAAAATGTAGCAACATCCTATTGGATGCAGAGCTGAACCCAAAAATATCAGATTTTGGGATGGCAAGAATATTTGAAAGCGATCAAATGCAAGACAGGACAAGTAGAGTGGCAGGAACATTGTAAGTACATCCGCAGAAACTCTTGAGGACAATAATTATCAAGAAGTATACTAAAACTTGGGCCTTATCCTTATTTTTCTGATGCAGTGGCTACATGTCACCAGAGTATGCAGTGTTTGGACAATTTTCTGTAAAATCGGACGTTTTTAGTTTCGGGGTCATGTTGTTGGAGATTGTAAGTGGCAAGAAGAACAATAGATTCTATCAGCAGAACCCTCCCCTAACCTTGATTGGATATGTGAGTTATAAGAGAATCTTTTCTGCTCCTAGCTAGCTTTCAAAATTTACTATTTTTAATACTGGCTGCCCTGATTTCCTGTATCTTAATGATTTATATGAACAATACAGGTGTGGGAATTATGGAGAGAAGATAAAGCATTGGAGATTGTTGATTCATCACTAAAGGAATTGTATCATCCCCAACAAGCCTTGAAATGCATACAAATTGGTCTGTTGTGCGTGCAAGAAGAAGCCACGGACAGACCATCCATGTTAGCAGTTGTTTTCATGTTGAGTAGCGAAACAGCCATTCCTTCTCCTAAACAACCTGCATTCCTTTTCACAGAATTTCGGGAGAATCCTCACACGGCAGTTGAGGTTGAAGAAGGATCATGTTCTATAAATGAGTTGACAATTTCTGTAATTTTGGGTCGGTGAAGATGTGTTTATATATATGCTCAGAATAACTGCTCATCGGAAGACATTCCTTCAGAATAATGCGATTAGTTGCTTATGTAAAACCAGCAATTGTTATTAGATGATGGCAACTAGCAGAACTCTTTCAGAGTAGTAAAGGCAAGAAATCCAGTCAGCTTTAGAATAAAGTAAATTATAGACTTTTTCTGCGGTTGTTGTTTCAGGAAATCTAACTCTGATTAATTAATTAGCCAACACATTCGGTGGTGGCACAATTTGCGGTTTAAAAATCCTAGACTCTCATTTGGGAATGGGATCATAAATTCTTTGCCTTTGACTGTCACATCTTGTGGTTGAGACTTTTTTTCAAAAAAAAGCCAAAGGGCTTTTATTTTTTCCTAAATGTTTGGGATTCTACCTTTATGTGAATGTTTATCAAAAAGCCAAAATACTAATACTAATAATAATTATTATAATAATCCATAATGAATCTTTTGGACTAAAGAAGTCCAAGACATACCTAAAGTAATTATTCTTTATTTTTGGCATAAAAGAGTTTTTAGGAAACCTACAAGCATTCACAATTAGTTTGTTGCACCCTTCACTACTTATTCAGTAAGTAATGCGAGATTTACAATAAATCTATTAAGTCTATCTTGTCGCATAAAAGCATATGATTGCACTAATTCAACAGTTGGAGCAAACTCCAACTTGTGATAGTGGAGGTTAGCTCATTAAATCAGTTGAATTGAGTTGTTAGGTTGTTAAAAGCCGTTAGTGATGTCGGTTACTTTAGCTATAAAAGCAGAGCACACTTTTCTCATTTTGTAATGGTAACAAAATAGTAAAAGAATCAATCAAGAGAAGCAGAGCATCTTCAAGCTTCAGTCTCTCTTCCTTCTCTGTTTAATTCTTAGCTTGATTTTCCTGCGTCCTTGCTGGTTTGCTTGGGTGTAGATTTCTCACAGTATGCTTGATTTTTCTTATAATTAATTAAGTGATTTAACTAATTTTATTATGGTGGATCATTGACTTGAATGAAGTCATCAACACGGCAGGAAGTTGATAGTCAATGGCAAAAGATTTAGAGTCACCTCAGTTCCCGTTTGACACTAACACATATGAACAATGTGATGCTTATATATATATATATATACATAAACTAAATCAAAGTGCCCTCTTGTGACTGCTGCATTCAGTCTACAAAAGAGACTTACAATGACAAGTCATTCTGTAGATTTTGAAAATTGCCAAGAACAACCCAAGTGTCACGCTAACTCAAGTGGATCCCACAATAAGAAGAACTGTACTTGCAGAGAAAGAAGAAGAAGACACCTGCACCTCTAGATCCATTTTTTTATTGTACGATTTGATTAGGTTATTTTTACAACATCGTCACAAAACTTGTCAAGATACGAGCGGAAACACACCAAAACTCTAATACGAAGTTGACATCGATTTTGTGATGACTTAGGTTAAATCTGAATGCAAGCAACCTTTATTTGATGAAACTAAACTCTACACCTGTGAAGATTCAATGAAGCCGAAACCTCCCACACAAAGTTGTTGAAATCCGAAAACTATAAACCTCAAGTTGATTAATGTCCAAACTTCCCAAGCACAAGTAACATTAGATTTGATTGATTTATACTAGATTTAGAATTCCATTACAATCTTACCTAAATAGTTTAGTTTTAAATAATTATAATGAAATTTTAGAACTTGACTGTAATATTGAACAATAGCTCCATTTTATATGATGAAATCAAGGATATAGAATATACAAAACCCTAAACAAGCACAATGATAATGCAAGAGATAGTTGAGAGAAATTTCTTAAGAATTTTATTAATTAATAGTCAAAGTTGTTTCTTCGCATTATATAAAAATACTTAATGCTAGTCAAAATATTCAGTCAATAAAGAAAAGTAACTCTAGAATAGTCAACTATACGAGTCTAATCCAAACACAATAAAAACTAATTAATTTCTTCAATCCCAACCAAATACAAATTCTAAACTAAACTCCTAACATAAATAAAACTCTTTATATTAACAACATACTTAAATAAAATTGATAAAAAATGTAAATAAAGACTATAATATTTTATCCGAACAAAGATTAAAATATTTAGCCCACACCTATTTTGAACTTTAAGGTTGTTAAAAAAGGTTTAATTGCATAAAACGTTCCTGTACTCTTGTGATTTTTTTTTTTTTAAATATGGTTCATGTACTTTTATTTTATTCAACTCCTCCTTTTACTCTTCAGTGTTTTTAATGTTGTCCTTTTGAAAATTTTCTAACTAATTTTTTGATCAAAACTAACAGTCGGCATAAATAATTTCACGTGATATGACATGTCAAATTAATTTACCACGTGTAAGAAAAAAAGGCCAAAAATATTAAAATTACAAAACCACTTTCGAATCATTTTGACTTCTTCATTTGTCCCCCTCTTTTATTTCTTATTAGGAATTTTGGAAGCTATTTCTACCAACAGGAGGCCTTTTTTTTCGAGAGCCGTTGGAGCTATTTTCTCTCCAAACCTGAATACCAAACCCAAAACTTGTTTCCTCTTTCTTCTTCACTTGAATACCGAACCCAAAACCCATTTCCTCCTCTCTCTCCCGCTAAGCCACACCTTCTCAGCCATCCAATGCTAGCCTCTCTCTAACTACCATAACGGCAGTCGTTCCTCATAGCCACATAACCAATCTCCACCCTCTCGACCACCACAACACTAGCCTCTACCTCACAAACCCTTGCTAAAACCTCCTCTTGCCACAAGCCTCAGCTTCAAAAGAGAGGGGACAAATGAAAGAGTGAGAATGATTCAAGGGTAGTTTTATAATTTTAATGATTTTTTGGTTTTCTATTTTTTTCACGTGGTAAATTAATCTAACATATCGTGCACTTAGAATTCTTTATGTCAACTATTAGTTTTGATTCGAAAATTGGCTGAAAAATAATAAAAAAAGCCACATTAAAAAAATTAAAGAGTGAAGAGAAAGGTTGAATTTAAAAAATAGAAGGATCATATTAAAAAAAAAATTATAAAAGTAGATGAAGTTTTGATGCGATTAAACCACTGGATAAATGTAGCCACGCTACCATGTCTACGAAATAGCCAGTGTCCCCAATGTTCCTGATTATTCTCCTCTCCCAAGAACAATGGTGGATCATTGAATGAATTCATCAACATGGCATGAAGTTGATGGTCAATGGAAGAAGATTTGGAAGTCACCTCAGTTCTGTGTGACACTGACACATATGAACAGCGTGGTGCATACAAATATAAAGAAAACTAAATCAAAGTGCCCTCTTGTGACTGCTGCATGCAGTCTACGAAAGAGACTTGCGACGACAAGTCATTCTGTAGATTTTGATAATTGCCAAGAACAATCCAGGTGTCATGCTAACTCAAGTGGATCCCACAATAAGAACAACTGTACTTGCAGAGAAAAAAGAAGAAGGCGCCTGCACCTCTCCATTTGTAGAAATTTAACACTTGACCAAGAGCCAGTCAAGATCCAGTTTACCCCACCATGGATTCTGAAAAACAGTTTTCGCTTTTCTTTGTTCTTATTCTCCAATTCTCCTTCTGCATATCCCAAGACTCCATAAATACCAACCAAATCATTAAAGAAGGCGACCTTCTAATCTCCGAAAGGAATATTTTTGCTCTAGGATTTTTCAGTCCAGGAAGTTCTAGCTACAGATATCTTGGTATTTGGTATAGTAAAGTAACAGAACAAACTGTTGTGTGGGTAGCAAATAGGAACGATCCAATCATTGGCTCCTCCGGATTTCTGTCTATCAACCAATATGGAAACCTGGTTCTGTTTGGTGACCATGACCAAAAAGTTCCAGTGTGGTCCACAAATGTTTCCGTGGAAGTAGCAGATGGTTGTGTAGCTCAGCTCTTGGATTCTGGAAATTTGGTTTTGGTTCAAGGTAGAAGTAAAAGAATAGTTTGGCAAAGCTTTGATTATCCAACAAATGTCCTGCTACCGGAAATGAAAGTTGGGATGGATCGGAAAACAGGATTTTATCGGGGTCTAACGTCATGGACATCAGCTGATGACCCTGGAAATGGAGAATTTTCATCTAGGCTAAACCCAAGTGGCTCACCACAATTCTTTCACTACAAGGGTACAAAGGCATTCCTTAGAGCTCCCCCATGGCCATGGAGAGTCCGAGCCAGTTTATTCAACAGAAGTTTTGTAAATAATGAAGACGAAATATACTGGGTCTACACTATTCCTGATGATTCTCCCATTATAATTATGATAATGGATCATTTAGGATTTTTAAAGCTGTTAACATGGCACGAAAGAGATGGACAATGGAAGGAGTCTTGGAGAGCCCCTCAGTTTCGATGTGATAATTATGGACTGTGTGGTCCTACTAGTATTTGTGAACCTACTAATGCCAATAGATTTGATTGTGCGTGTTTACCTGGGTTTGAGCCCAAGAATCCAAGGGACTGGTCTCTGAGAGATGGTTTAGGAGGTTGTGTTAGGAAACGGCTAGAGTCTTCTTCGGTGTGCCGACATGGAGAAGGGTTTGTGATGGTGGAAAAAGTAATGCTTCCTGACGCTTCAACGGCACTTTGGATGGAAATGAGCATGAGTCGTACAGACTGTGAACTGGAATGCATGAGGAATTGTTCATGCTCTGCTTATGCAAGCATTGAAATTCCTGGGAAAGGGGATGGATGTTTGACTTGGTATGGGGAATTAATAGACACGAAGTACGCTATGATTGAAAGATATGATCTATATGTTCGTGTTGATGCATATGAATTAGGTACCGTTTTTCTGCTCGGTATAAACTCTAATAGGACGATTGTTACATTGATGCATATAAGTTTTTCTCTTGCTTGTTACTGCTGCAATTAATAAGCTCTCTGTTGATAGAAGAAACCATCTGATATGTATTGTATTGTTCCCACTTTAATTACCATTCTTCCGAACTCTTTTTACGTTGGGGTGGTGGGGACTGGAGGTTATTCTTTCTCTGGAGTTATTCTGTATTGTATTTACTCTTGTACAGCTGAATATACAAGGAAGTCAAACGGTTCTGGTAAAAAGAAGTGGATGCTGGCCATTTTGGCACCATCTGTTGCATCGCTATGGTTTCTCATTAGCCTATTTGCTTTTTTGTGGCTCAGGAAGACGGCACAAAAAGGTAAGAGTACCAAATCATGTATTTATTCTTCTCTGGTTGTGACTATCAGCCTATTTACAAATTGTAATTTGCCTATTTAGCCTATGTTTTTATGGGAGAAATTCATTTTTTCCCCTCATGATCGAAAATGCTTCTAAGGTACAACTACAGATGAACTACGGGGAAGTGGCAATGCTACAGACTTGGAATATTTCAAGCTCAGCATCATAACAGCTGCCACTAACAATTTTTCTCCAGTTAACAAACTTGGCCAGGGTGGTTTTGGCTTAGTTTATAAGGTTGAGTGTCAAAAAAACTGAATGGCTTCTCAATTTGCTGTTTGTTTTTCTGTTCTTGTCATAATTGTCATTTAGAGGTCTGATATTTTTGCAACATTATTTTAGGGTCTGCTACTAACGGAGAGGAGGTTGCAGTAAAAAGGTTATCCAGAAATTCAGGACAAGGAATAGAAGAATTTAAAAATGAGGTTACAGTAATTGCAAAGCTACAACACAGGAATCTTGTGAAACTTCTGGGCTGCTGCATTGAGGGTGGAGAACAAATGTTAATTTATGAATTCTTGCCAAACAGAAGCTTGGATTCTTTCATCTTTGGCAAGTCCTTTTATGTATTTATTGCCCTGCTTTACACTAATTGTTTAATTTTAGCTCTCTAAGAGATGATTTTTTCAAACAGATGAAAGAAGAAGATTGTTATTGGATTGGGAAAAACGCTTCGATATTATTGTTGGTATGGCAAGAATATTGGATGCAGAGCTGAACCCAAAAATATCAGATTTTGGGATGGCAAGAATATTTGAAAGCGATCAAATGCAAGACAGGACAAGTAGAGTGGCAGGAACATTGTAAGTACATCCGCAGAAACTCCTGAGCACAATTATCAAGAAGTATACTAAAACTTGGGCCTTATCCTTATTTTTCTGATGCAGTGGCTACATGTCACCAGAGTATGCAGTGTTTGGACAATTTTCCGTAAAATCGGACGTTGTTAGTTTCGGGGTCATGTTGCTGGAGATTGTAAGTGGCAAGAAGAACAATAGATTCTATCAGCAGAACCCTCCCCTAACCTTGATTGGATATGTGAGTTATAAGAGAATCTTTTCTGCTCCTAGCTAGCTTTCAAAATTTACTATTTTTCAATATTGTCTGCCCTGATTTCCTGTATCTTAATGATTTATATGAACAATACAGGTGTGGGAATTATGGAGAGAAGATAAAGCATTGGAGATTGTTGATTCATCACTAAAGGAATTGTATCATCCCCAACAAGCCTTGAAATGCATACAAATTGGTCTGTTGTGCGTGCAAGAAGAAGCCACGGACAGACCATCCATGTTAGCAGTTGTTTTCATGTTGAGTAGCGAAACAGCCATTCCTTCTCCTAAACAACCTGCATTCCTTTTCACAGAATTTCGGGAGAATCCTCACACGGCAGTTGAGGTTGAAGAAGGATCATGTTCTATAAATGAGTTGACAATTTCTGCAATTTTGAGTCGGTGAAGATGTATTTATGCTCAGAATAACTGCTCATCGGAAGACATTCCTTCCGAATAATGTGATTAGTTGCTTATGTAAAACCAGCCATAGTTATTAGATGATGGCAACTAGCAGAACTCTTTCAGAGTAGTAAACGCCAGAAATCCAGTCAGCTTCAGAATGATTGAAATTATAGACTTTTTCTGCTGTTGTTGTTTAGCCCTAGGGAACTATCTATAACCTCTGATTAATTAATTAGTCAACACATTAGGTGGTGGCACAATTTGAGGTTTAAAAATCATTGACTCTCATTGGAGAATTGGGTCACACATTCTTTATAGTTCACTTTCTGTTTTCGTTTTCGTTTTCTTGATACCTGTAAAATAGTAAAGTGGGCATGTCCTCTAGTTGGCCCAAATACGTGAAAATCTTTCCTACTCGTTAATGGAGTTATTGTTCTTCTTTTTATGTTTCCCTCCGTTAATTCATACTTTTTTTGGAATACCATAAATAACTTGGTTTTCAAAAGTTGAAGTATCGAAAAGTTTCATCATGTGTGAATAATTGTCTTATATGTAATGCCAATCATATATAATTGTTTTTGTAGAATTCATTTTTCAAAAAAATATCAACTAGTGAATATATGATAATTGTCTAGTATATATGAATAACACTAATCATACATTATTTTTTTACAAAATTCATCTACAATTAAATATCAGTTATTGAATAAGTATCTAATGCATTAAATAAGTACATTTCATTAATAATTTTTATAAGTGAATTATGTAAGACAATCATATATGATTAGTATTACTTTCTCTCTGTCTCTCTATATTCATGTTCTTGAATAAATTTTGGATATATTTTTTTTTTTTGGAATTTTGGAAATTAATTTGGGTATTATGATCCTGATAGTATTGCCATGTAGGATGACATGTTTATTTTGTTATTTTTATTGATTTGTTTATTGTATTAGTTTGGTTTATGTCAAGTCTTCAAGTTTTTAAATAGTTTATGTAATTTCACGGTATCCGAGGAGTTATTGTAATTTACCTTAAAAATACTTTAGGAACTATGCTTAAAAAAGTATCAAAATAACATAATAAATAAGAAAAGATATATTTAAATACGATAAAAATTTTAATTTTAATTTAATTTTCATATTTTAAACAAATAAGTAATATATATATATATAGGGGACAATCCCTTACTATTTTATCAAAACATTTTTTCTTTGTCATTACGATGAACCTTACAATTTTTTAGTTTTAAGAAAATTATTGAATTAATATAAAATATATAGCGTAGAATAAATAGAATTATAAAAATTATTTAAAGATTTATGCATGCAAACCATTTGATTATGATTATCAATTTGGTTTTAATTTGGCTGTTATTTTATACGTATGGATTATTATGAATAATTTATAAGTTCAAGGAATGACATAGAAGAGTTTGACCTCCAAATCTACCAAGTTCCTCCTAGAACATCCTACTTTATGTGAGATGAGTAGATGACAATAATACCTCCATTACGTAGTCTTTACTAAAACTATTAATTTTTGTCATTTTATCAATCTCTTGGGATTTAATGAGGAAGTCAAATATACAACTGCAGCAACCATTGTTAAGATATTCAAGAATAGTATTGCTAGCGTTTTGCTGCCAACTATCTAATGGAAAACATAGCAAGAAATCAAGAGAATGGTGTCATTTTCATCGATACTGATTATTGTATGGATATGTCCAACTATAATCGTTGTTATCATCCTTAAATCTCATGTCTCTTGCCATCTTAAAGGATTTATGTATTGATGTAAATCTATGAACTAGACACTAATTACTCTCAAGGCCTTTGACAACCCATTCTTTCGAACTCGAAGCTATGTTATGATGAATCTTCAAATAGAATCTATATAATGCCTAACCCATTTTCATGCCATCAAAGCTCATGTGTCCTATCACATATTGATTGAAATGTCTTTTCTTCAGGAATATGATTTGATTCTCTCCTTCGAGTATCATTTTGCATAAAGGCATGAGAGAGAGATAAACATCTTCATTCTTAAAGTCATGATGCTTTTCAAGTGTAATAAATTTCATTTTACAGATGCATCATTCTATGATGAGTCTACCGTCGATGATAATTGAAAGATAATGAAGGATGGTGTGTGTCTGTGTGCATTTATAATATATATCGTATCCCGAGATTTCATGTAACGATTAAACTATTGGATTGAATTAGTTCTTTAAAATGGTTTTGAGCGTTACTAACCAAATAATTAAAAGTTCGAATCCTACCATCTCTACTCTCTCAACTAAAAAAAATCATAGAAAATTAAACACAGAGTATTGTGGATTTGTATAAATTTTAAGATTAAAAAGTTTTTACTTAGAGATGTGTGTTAGAGAGTAACATAAAATATATCCTAAAGCCTCATCTCTTATACCCAAATTTATTCTAGACCTTGACCTAATAAATTGGTTAAAAACAGATGGATAAAGCACATCAAGTTTTTAATTGGGAACTTCTTAATCTCTCTCTCTCTCTTTTTTTTTTTTTTTTTATTGACTTCGCCTAAAATCCCATTAGGTATTTTCTATCAGAAAAGACCATTCCTAACTCACTGAGCTTAACAGACGTACTTGCCTAACAAATCAATCTAGATGAGACTGCCGGAATGCTTTTCAATAAGTTAAGGAGAAACAAACGAAAAAATGACTCTCAACAAGGTAAAAAAAATTAAAGAAAACACGGGGAAAAAGTCTTATTTTAGGGACAAAAGTAATAAGCAGTGCAAAGATAGTTAAAGAATAATTCCCACGTTATATATATAAAAATAGTGGTAGAGTTGAGTGACATGCCTTATCTATTCAACGCAAAAGAAATAACCTACAAATATATATAACACCAAGTTTGTTAGGTCTAACTCAAACCCATAAGTCATAGTAAAAGGTCGTAATCATCTTGATGGCCCTAGCGTCCCTAAGAAACAGATATCCACTGCGAGGCAGACCACTTCTTGGAAAACGTTTAGGAACTCTTCCATCCTAGGGCGCCCCGGCTTTAAAACCATTAAAGGAGACAAAACATTTAATGAAAATGCTTTTATATGATGATATTAATCAAATTGTCACTCATTATGATAACAATAACATCATCAAAGATAGATAGAATGATCACATGCCAAGGGTTTCGGGTTTCAGCTGTTGGCTTAACAGGGGAAGGATGATTCTACCCTACCAACCATCTAAGTCGCATTCATCGTTGTCCATGTAAGAGCTTTAACCTCAAGGGTCCGGCCCAAGTTCCAATCCTTTTTTTTTTTTTTTTTTTATAGCAATTCCTCTCATCTGAAAAATATTTATATATCATTAAGCATTTTCTTGAAAGAATATTTTCAGGTCAACTTGTCATGTTCTGATTTCGAACTTATCTTTAAATAGTCTTTCAAAAAACCAAACGTACTTATTTTGCAAATATCACGTGCAAGGAGTCGCAAACGTTCCTCTTATAAATACTATCCACACTCCCCCTACGTAAGCCACGTCTTCCTTACATTACTGCGCTGATCTTTCCGCCTCATCAGCTAGAAATATTCATTATTCACATCAACTGAGCACGTCACAAGTATATTCATGTAATAAAATCGAAGAATCCCTTATGAGCACATGTCGTCTTGACTCTTGAAATCATAAAAAACTATTCTCTCCACCATTCAAAACCCAATAATAAGATCGAAGAATCCCTTATGAGCACATGCTGAAAAACTGTTTTTGCTTTTTCCTCTTTTAATGCTTCCCTTCTCATTTTGTACATCCCAAGACTCCATTAACACGAACCAAACCATTAAGGATGGTGATTTTTCAATTGCTTTTAAATTTTATAGTTGAAGTGACACGAGAAATATGTGATTTTTCAATTAATTTCCCAAATTAAGTTGAGGTGCTCAATTTAAATAATTATTGCATGCTTCTCTTTTTTCTTCATCCTAGCTTTGATGTCTAAAGATAATATGAATTCGACTTTTAATCTCTTGAGATGATGCTAGGTAGTTATAATCAAGCAATTAAATATGATGATGTGAGCCATAATTTAAGTCAACTGAATATCAAACTGCGAAATATAAAAAATTAATTAGACAAATAGTCGTTGTCTATCCTGTAAAGATTGCAAGAAGCTTCAAATGGATCCATTAGAGAGATGCCACTATAAGCGAAGTGGATCACATATGTACTTGGATTTCAGAACCCAAGGAAGGCTAAGGTCTAGTTTACTCGATCATGGATGCTGAAAAACTGTTTCTGGTTTTTCCTCTTCTAATGCTCCGATTCTCCTTTTGTACATCCCAGGATTCCATACGGATAAACCAAACCATTAAAGAAGGCGAGCTTCTAATTTCCAAAGGAAATAATTTCGCCCTAGGATTTTTCAGTCCAGGCAGTTCTAGCTATTGGTATCTTGGAATTTGGTTCCGTAAAGTACCAGAACAAACAGTGGTGTGGGTAGCAAATAGAAACAATCCAATCATGGGCTCCTCAGCATTTCTCTCAATCAACCACCATGGAAACCTCGTTCTGTATGGTAAACGTGACCAAAGAGTTCCTGTATGGTCTACAAATGTTTCGGTGGAAGACAACGGTACTTTTGTTGCTCGGCTATTGGATTCAGGAAATTTGGTTTTGGTCCATGATGCAAGCAGAAAAATTGTATGGCAAAGCTTTCACTATCCGACAAACAACCAGCTACCAGGAATGAAACTTGGGCTGGATCGGAACACAGGTATTGAGCGTTTCTTAACATCATGGAGATCAGCTGATGATCCTGGAACTGGAGATTTTTCAATTAGGGTCAACCCAAATGGCTCACCCCAAATCTTTCTCTACATGGGAACTAACTCGAAGCCATCTTGGCGATCTACCCCATGGCCCTGGAGAAACCAGTCAAGTTTCGAGAACAAGAAGTTCGTAAGCAATCAAGATGAAATATCCACTGTCTACACTGTTCCCGATGATTCTCTTCTCCTAAGAACAATGTTGGATCATTCAGGAGTTATAAAGGCGTTAACATGGCATGAAGGTGATAGCCAATGGAGGGAGATATGGAAGGCACCTCTGTTCCCGTGTGACAGATATGGACATTGTGGTGCTTACGCTATATGTCATCTTGATTTTAGTTCATTTGAATGCTCTTGTTTACCTGGGTACGAGCCTAGATACCCAAAGGAATGGTTTACGAGAGATGGATCTGGTGGTTGTGTCAGGAAGCGTTTAGAAACTTCCTCAATGTGTGGGCATGGAGAAGGTTTTATGAAAGTTCAAAATGTATTGCTTCCTGATACTTCAGCTGCAGTTTGGTTGAACAAGAACATGAGTCCTGCAGACTGTGAACACGAATGTAAGAGGAACTGCTCATGCTCTGCGTATGCAAGCATTGAAATTCCTGGGAAAGGCGCTGGCTGTGTGGCTTGGTATGGAGAACTAATAGATGCAAAATATGATACGAGTGAAAGTTATGATCTGCATGTTCGTGTTGATGCAATTGAATTAGGTACCATTTCCTGTTCGCAAGTATTGAGTTAAAAAACCTTTTTTGGGCTTCTTCTTTGGAGTAATTCTAGCTCTATTCATTTCACTCTCATGCAGCTGAGAATGCAAGGAAATCGAATAGTTCTTACGAAAAGAAGAAGCTGGCCATTCTAGTACCAATATCTGTTGCTTCAGCATGTTTGATCACTATCCTATTTACTTATTTGTGGCTCAGGAAGAGGGCAAGAGAAGGTAAGACAAAACAAGCTTATCTCTGTTATTCTGTGCCTTCCTCAATCATGTACTAGTTGTTTTTTCTCAAGTTGTGAATAGGCGTCTCATGGAAAGAACGTCATTTGTTTCTGCATGATTAAACTACTACAAAGGTCTTCTGGTGCCAAATGAGCTCCAGAGAAGTAGCAGTGAGACAGACTTCGAATTTTTCAGGCTCAGCACAATATCTGCTGCCACAAACAGTTTCTCTCCAGCTAATAAACTTGGACAAGGTGGTTTTGGCTTAGTTTATAAGGTACTATTTCAAGTGCAATATCTCAAAACTGAATGACTTGTCAAATATGCTCTGTGTTCTTCTCCTATTGTCATAATTGTCATGTTCAAGGATTACTCTTGCAACATTATTTTAGGGCCTTCTACCAAATGGACGAGAGATTGCCGTAAAAAGGTTATCAAGAAGTTCAGGACAAGGAATGGAAGAATTTAAAAATGAAGTTATGGTAATTGCAAAGCTTCAACACAGGAATCTTGTGAAACTTTTAGGTTGTTGCATTCAGGGTGGAGAACAAATGTTAATTTATGAATATTTGCCCAACAAAAGCTTGGACTCATTTATTTTCGGTATGTCTTTAGATCTATCTATCCCCCGGTTTAACACTAATTGTCCATACTATAGCTGTCTGAAATCTTTTTTTTAAAACAGATGATACAAGGAGATCGCTATTGGATTGGAGAAAACGCTTAGCTATTATTGTCGGTATTGCTCGTGGGATTTTATATCTTCACCAGGATTCTAGGTTGAGAATCATTCATAGGGACTTAAAATGTAGCAACATTCTATTAGATGCAGAGATGAATCCAAAAATTTCAGATTTTGGAATGGCAAAAATATTTGAAAGCGACCAAATTCAAAACAGGACAAGCAGAGTTGTAGGAACATAGTAAGTACATTTGCATAATAAAGAGAGACATCTGCAAGAATACTATGCACGATTACCAAGTATACTAAAAGTTGAGACTCTTTCATATTTTTCTCATGCAGTGGCTATATGTCACCAGAATATGCTGTGTTTGGAAAATTTTCTGTAAAATCAGATGTTTTTAGTTTCGGGGTGATGTTGTTGGAGATTGTGAGTGGCAAGAAAAACAATAGATTCTATCAACAGAATCCTCCCCTAACCTTGATTGGATATGTGAGTTATACGAGTCTTTTCTTCTCGTAGCTAGCTTTCATAATTCACAATTTCCTGTATGTTAATGGTTTATATGAACAACACAGGTGTGGGAATTGTGGAGAGAAGACAAAGCATTGGAGATTGTTGATTCATTACTAAAGGAGTCATATCCTCCCCAAGAAGCCTTGAAATGCATACAAATTGGTCTGTTGTGCGTGCAAGAAGAAGCCACGGACAGACCATCCATGTTAGCTGCTGTTTTCATGTTGAGTAGCGAAACAGCCATTCCTTCTCCTAAACAACCTGCATTCCTCTTCACAGAATTTCGCAAGAATCCTTACATAGAAATCAAGGTTGAAGAAGGATCAAGTTCTATAAACGAGTTGACAATTTCTGCAATTTTGAGTCGGTGAAGATATATATATTCCTTCAGATTTCTTGACAGTCTGTACACCTTTGTTGCACATGAAAAGCTATCTATATATCCACTCAAGCTTTCTATTTCATTAAGGACTTCTTATTTTGAGAAAGTTCCTTTCATTTCTTTTTTCTCGTTTCATTTTTTTTTTTGTTTTGGGTAATGTTATTGGAAATCATAAGTGGCAAGAAGAATAATATATTCTATCAACAGAATCCTCTCGACCTTGATTGGATATGTGAGTTATAAGAGAATTTTTTGTGCTCATAATTGTCTTTCAAATCACAATTTTAAAATTTTCTGCTCTGAGTATTCCCTGTATGTTAATGATTTATATGAACAACACAGGTATGGGAATTATGGAGAGGAGAAAGCATTGGAGATTGTTGATTCATCGCTGAAGGAGTTGTACCATCCACAAGAAGCCTTGAGAAGACATGCCAAAAAACTGAGAAACTGTCCTGTTTTATCTCTGCCTTTCAATTTCTATCAGCGACTTGTTTAGTTCGTTTCCCGATAGAAGAAACTAATAACAAAAAATAATTCTTTCTTGTGAATGCTTGAGATTATTGCATTCTGTATACGAAACAAATCATTGAAAGATACTAAAATGTAAAGATTAAAAAAGAAAATGGCTAACAGATCATGCATCAGAGGTTCGAACTTTGAATCTGGGTGTTGCTAGCTTGTCCTTACTATTTCTATATGCTTCTCCTGTAAATAAATAACAACAGATTCCATTATATCATTCCAAATCCAAATGGAATAAAAAGCTGCAGGTTATCTGAGAGGAAGATCCATTGATGATAGCTGATTTGGTAGTTTATTAGTGATTAGGATCCATGTCCAGCAAACATTTCCAAAACCAAGAACAGTCTTTTGACCTTAGTTACAAAATTTATGTAGTTACTTTTAACCAAGTTAATTGTGCATTGTACGAGCAGTCATTGAGACAGAGAGAGTATGTCTTTAGGGAGTTACAACGCAGTAATGGTCAACAGTATTTATAGCCAATTCTACCCTTTCTTCTTGTTCTTCATCATCATCATCATCTTCTTCTTCTACGTCGATTAGTGTATGAGATATATTGCAAATTTGTCTAAAAATAAATGGAGGTTCTTTTGGAGAAGGAATAGCTGCTTCAGCAATACTCAACATGAAAACAACAGCTAACATGGAGGGCCTGTCCATTGCATCTTCTTGTACACACAATAGCCCGATTTGAATGCATTTCAAGACTTCTTGAGGGTGATATAACTCCTGCAATGACGAATCAACTATCTCCATTGCTCTTTCTTCTATCCATAGCTCCCACACCTGCGTGGTCCATAGCATTAAAAAAACAGGAGGAGAAGAATAGCTATCAAATTGTCACTTTCAGAAGCTATTGCGGTCAGTACAACTAGAAGTCTCTTACATGCCCAATCAAGGTCAAGGAATCATCCTTTGTAGTAAATTCGCTGTTCCTCTTGCCACTGACGATCTCCAATAGCATGACCCCGAAACTAAACACATCTGATTTTACCGAAATTTTTCCAAACTCAGCATACTCTGGCGACATATATCCACTGCATAGGAAAAATAAGCAGAAAGTCCTTGATGTTAATATTCAAGCTCATTATTCTTAAATATTATGCCAATCTTTCTTTCCAGATGTTCTAGTGTACTTACAATGTTCCCACAACTCTACGTGTCTCGTCCTGTATTTGGTCCCTTTCAAATATTCTAGCCATTCCAAAATCTGCTATTTTTGGAGTCATCTCTGCATCTAATAGAATGTTGCTACATTTCAAGTCCCTGTGAATGATTCTCAACCTTGAGTCCTGGTGAAGATACAGAATCCCACGAGCGATGCCAACAATAATTTCAAAGCGCGTGCTCCAATCCAGGAACAACCTTCTTCTTTCATCTGTTAAAAAAGTTTGTCTATTTCATCTGAACAAGTTTTAAAAGATGTAGTCAACAGATGAAAAGGCTTACCAAAAAGAAACGAGTCCAGGCTTTTGTTCGGCAAGTATTCATAAATTAGCATCTGTTCTCCCCCTGAATGCAACAGCCTACAAGTTTCACAAGATTCCTGTGCTGAAGCTTCGCAATTACCTTAACCTCATTTGTAAATTCTTCTATTCCTTGTCCTGAATTTATTGATAGTCTTTTTACAGCAATCTCCTCCCCATTAGGTAGCTGACCCTAAAATCATTCTGACTAATCAGTCCAGAGTTTAAACACAATTGAAGAGTATTAACTATGAAATTCTGAGATGTTGCATACAGAACTACCTTATAAACTCAACCAAAACCACCTTCCCCAAGTTTGTTTGCTGGAGAAAAATTGTTAGTGGCAGCAGATAGGGTGCTGAGCTTGAAAAAAGACAAGTCTGCGTCATTGCTACTTCCCCACAGCTCGTCTGCCAACCAAGTATCTTAATTAGTAGCATTTTCAATGATGGGAAAAAGTATGTGAATGTTTTCCTTCAAGGCACTTAGAACACAAATTAAGCAACAGAAATATGTTTAAAATAGGCAGAGAACATTTGGACATATGTAAGCTACATTGCAACAAATTAAGCTTTTAGCCACCTGACGTACCCACTGCCGAAGTTGCCAACCTGCTTCGAAAAATCATGACTAGGAGTCTAGAAGTTAACAACCAATCCATTCTGTCTATTGTCAAACAAGATATATTAACAGCATCACCATATGAAATACTATAGGGGTGCAGTTTATCAAGTACTATTTTAATAGATAGTTACTTTATCAGTTTATCTTTCCTGTGTTGTTGTGCTTGCTTTTTCTTACTTTTTTCTCCTCTCTTCCTGAGCCAGACGGATCGGAATATGCTAATGATCAGCCAAGTGGAAACAACAGCTGGAACAAGAATGGTCAGCAACTCCTTTTCAAGAGAGCCATTTGATTTCCTTGATTTATCAGCTGCATGAGAACGAGAAGAGTACAGAGAATTCAAATTTTTTGTTTAAAATGTTAATAAATAAAAAATGGTAACTGAAACAGAACAAAAACAATTCTTTTTGAAAGTAAGAGAGCCCTTAGCCAGCGGATAGTTCTGCTTGTGAAAACTGAGCAGCAATACTTTAATTGGGAAATTCAGTGAGAAGCAAGAAGTACCTAGTTCAAGGGCATCGACTCGAACATACAGATCATATCTGTCATTCCTATCATATGTTGCGTCCATTAATTCACCATACCATGTAACGCAGCCCTTTGCTCTTCCTGGAGCATCTACAATTGCGTACGCAGAGCATGAACAATTACTCTTGCATTGCTTTTCACAGTTTGCACGACTGGTAGTTGTGTTCGCCCAAACTGCAACTGAAGAATCTGGAAGCAATACCTTTTCCACCTTCACAAACCCTTCTCCAGGAGCGCACCCTTCTAGTCCCTAACGGAAACAACCAACAGACCCATCTCTCAGAAACCAGCTCCATGCATCCTCGTGTCCATACCCAGGCAAACAAGCACATTCATATTTAGTTATGTCACCAGGTTCACAAGTACTATAAGCACCACACTTTCCATACCAATCACATTGGTGCTTCGGTGTGACCCAGAACTCCTTCCATTTGTGGTCATTTACATCCCATGTTACCACCTTCAAAAACCCTGAATGATCCACCATTATTCTTAGGATAATGGAATCATCAATAGGTGTGTAGACAAGGTATATTTCATCTTGAATGTTTACGAAGCTTTCGCTGTACAATTGCCTCTGGCCTCTCCATGGCCACGCGGCTGTTCGCCAATAACGTTTTCTACCCTTGTGGAGAAAGAATTGTGGTGCGCTACTGGGGTAGACCTTAAACGAGTAGTCTCCGGTTCCTGGATCATCTGCTGATCTCCATGATGTCAGGAAAAGTTCATGACCTGTTTTCTTATTTAAACCAAGTTTCATTCCTGGTAGCATGGTATCTGTAGGATAATCAAAACTTTGCCACGCAATTCCCTTACTTCTCGTCTGAACCAGAACCAGATTTCCTGAATCCAAGAGCTGAGCTTCACAAGTATCTCCAACCAAACAATTTGCAGACCATACTGGAAACTTCTGGTCACTGTCACCATAGAGAACTAGGTTTCCATATTGGTTGAGGGCGAGAAACGCTGAGGAGCCATTGATTGGATGCCCTCTATTTGCCACCCACACCACAGTTTGTTCAGGAACCTTATGATACCAAATTCCAAGATATCTATAGATTGAATTACCAGGGCTAAAAAATCCTAATACAAAATTGTTTTCTTTGGAGATCACAAGGTTGCCATCCTTTACAGTTTGATTTGTCTTTATGATGTCTATGGGAGTGCATGAAGTGAATTGGAGGATTGGAATGAATAGGAGGATTGGAAGAAACAGAGAATGCAGAAACAGTTTTTTGGCAATCATTCCCTAAACTGTGGTGGAAATGTGAACAGAATAGCAAAAATCTAATTCATGTATGACTTCAGCATCCGGGGTAAAGTCACCTTGCGTGTTTTCGGGATTGACTTTGCTAACCAGCAATAATTCTATAATGAAGTCGATGCTTGATGGAACTGAGATATTGAAAGGAAAATGTGGTTGTATGGAAGTGTAGAAATAACAAATTAATGCTGGTTTCCAAGTTCAAATTCTTGACTTATCCTTGGCAGCCACTAAAGACTACCATTTAAAAAAGAGAAAATGTTATCTCTTTGACATGGATTTCTTTTTTTTTTTTTAAATAACCCTTTTCCACTTACATTTTCAAGAAAACTGTTGAATGATAATATCAAAATTTTTCTAGGCTAAACTATATTTCAATGACTACTATTTAAGCTTGACTTTGCATACATGCATTTGGTGACTGGAACATATAAGCCTTTTCTGTGGAAAATAATGATTATTGAATGCGAAATAAAGTTAGTGTTATCTCCTGCAACTCCCTTTTTTTGATATTTTGGTAGTAGTTAGGGGTTTTGTTGTATGAATGAAGTACTTTATTAGTAGAGAACGTGTGATATAAATACAAAGGTTCTATATGCTATAACAAAAAATAACATTTAGCTCATTAGTACAAAGATTAGGAAGTAGTATCTGGCTAATAAATACTAAGATTATAAAGAATATACCTAATTAGGAAAGTTTATACAGCTGCAATTCCTTGGTTTGAGATTCTGGTAATTCTTTGATTTGAGGTTATAGTATCTCAGTATTCTATATAACTAAAAGAAATGAATTTATTGTAGTTCTAGACTCAATGCATTGTGGATGGCATTTTTATGATTTTGGTAGGGGAAAATTATATAAGTTTTTATATTTTGGTCCCTAATATTTTTGAATGAATATTTTGATTCACATTTTTATTTGCTAATCCATTTTAGTTTCTAGGTGTAGAGAGAAGGGATAGAGGAAGAGAAAGACGAGAGGAGAGAGATCGCCGGCTAAGCTTATTTACGCCACTTTCGTTGAAAAAAATGTGTAAGGTTTTTTTTTTATTATTATTATTATCTTTGAGAGATGAGTTTGTCCATGGTGGTTTCAAACTATTAAATAATTAGAGGAGGTAGATTGGAGTCAAAAAAAGAAGAAAAAAATTCGATTTGATTGAGCTTTTTTTTTTAGTGTACATTAAAATGATTTTTAAGATTTTAAATTTGTTTATTAACTTTATTTCGATCATTTAAAGGTGCTTAGAGGGAAAAAAATGATGCCGAAATTGAATTTTTTAAGGTCTAAAACTTAATCTTCGATTTTTCGATCAAGATTCCGACAACCTCGAGTTCATTGAAAGTTGTAGAAATTTTTATTTTTATTTTGTTGAGCACCGACCTAGGCTCGGTGCATAGGCCCAAGCCGCGCTAGTGCACACGCCTTTTTTTATTATTATTATTATTATCTTTGAGAGATAAGTTTGTCCATGGTGGTTTCAAACTATTAAATAATTAGAGGAGGTAGATCGGAGTCAAAAAAAGAAGAAAAAAATTCGATTTGATTGAGCCTTTTTTTTTAGTGTACATTAAAATGATTTTTAAGATTTTAAATTTGTTTATTAACTTTATTTCGATCATTTAAAGGTGCTTAGAGGAAAAAAAAATAATGCCAAAATTGAATTTTTTAAGGTCTAAAACTTAATCTTCGATTTTTCGATCAAGATTCCGACAACCTCGAGTTCATTGAAAGTTGTAGAAATTTTTATTTTTATTTTGTTGAGCACCGGCCCTAGGCTCGGTGCATAGGCCCAAGCTGCGCTAGTGCACACGCCTTTTTTTTTTCCCCTACATATACACACAACATGGCCACTTTCTTGATTGCACTTTTTCTTTTTCTTTCTTTTTTTCTTTCTCTTCCTAAGGCCGGCGCATACACACACACACACATCAAGGGCATTTTTCTGGCCACAACATTATTATTTTTTTATTTTACGCATAGTTTGAAAATGATAGAATATATTTGATATTTTTTTAGATTTTAGTTTGAATATAAATATTTGATTACATTATTTTTATTGTTTAAAATTTATTTCTTTAATTATTTGTTTCTTATTAAAATTCTCATCAAATTAATTTTTTGATATAATTTTATTTGTTAATAAATTTAGTTTTTTTAATATATGAATTTTGGAATAAAAATTTAGAACATCATTATTTTATTTTAAAAAATTTTATTATTATAATTTATACAATAATTTTTTTTTTTTGCTTTTTAAATGAGTGTTTTATTTCTTAAAATATATTATTATAATTTACAAATTCGAGAGAGAGAGAGAGAGAGAGAGAGAGCTCAAAGTATGTTTTAAATAGTTTTGACTCAATTTTTTTTAAAAAAATTAATAATTAGTTAAAAAAATTCACAAGTTTTATTTTCTTTTTTTATATATAGTTATTCAGAATTTATCAAAATCAATTTTTTTATATAGTTTTCATTTTAATTTGTTGACTTTAATTTATTTCATACAATTTAGGTAGTTTTGTTTTTTTTTGTATGTATATATATATATATATATATATCAAACGATTTTGCTTAATATATAGATTCGATTTACATTAATTATTAGAAATAAAACTTCTACTCATATTACACCATACGAATCCTTAATTCTATGTATGTAGCGATTGTTTAACCGTAATGTAGCACGGGTATTTAACTAGTATTGTTCTATTATAGTTGGGTCTCTACAGTTTGTGATTTCTTTTAGAGCTAAAAATGTCAATCCTTTTTTTGAAATTGGTTTTAAGCTTTTAATTTATATCTAGACCTTCTTGAATTGTTTTTTTTTTTTTCAAATTTAGCCCATCTTATAATTCTTTTTACTATCACCCAAGTCTTTTATTTTTTCCAATTATATTGGTATTTTAATATGAAGTTTTGCGCATAAATTGGTAAAAATCAAATCTGTTTTCTAAAAAAATTGTAAAATTTTTCAAAATAAAATTATTTATTTATTTATTCAATATCAAAAATAAAAAATAACTCAAAATGATCCCAAATTTTTTGAAAAGCTCCAAATAAATCTCATCGAATGATTTCTATTATGGAGCTATTTATATCATTGTTATTTTTTTAAAATAAATGACAACAAAATAAAAGATAAACTAAATCTAAAAAAAATAAAAATTTAATAAGATTAAAACATAAATTAAAAAATCCAGTAATTGATTTTTAAATAGAATAAATTAGTTTTTTTTACCTGCACTATGTTGCGGATTTGATAAAATATATAAAATCATTTCAGTTTGATAGTACTGTTTTATGGTGTGAGTCTATAAAAATATATGAAATCAAATGTGTAAAAAAAAATTATTTATAATTTTTTAATCAAAAATTTTATTTTTAACTATTTCTTATTTGAGTTTTTCATAATTTTTCCTTTAGAAAAAGGATTTATCCTTGTTAATCCATGGATTATTAACTAAAAGGAAAATTATATAATTTTTTAAAGAAACTTTAATATTTCATAAGATTGCGTCAAAAACAAATTATTAAAAGCTTACATAAAATTGAACAAATAATTTCTTTTATTTTTATTTAATGTTGATGAGAATATCAATTTTTGAAAAAATATAAATTTAATTTTATATGTTTATTTACAAAAGAATGAATAATATAAAAATAAAAAACTATATTAATTTTAATTATTTAATTTAAAATAAGATAATTTTAAAATATTAAAAAATAAATCATTGAGTGGTTAAGCCATACATATAGAAACATAAATCAGAAATGTTAGTAAATATAATTTTAAATTAATTGGATGAGAATTTTTTTAAAAAAAATGACAAATTAAAGTAGTAAATTTTAAATAATAAAAATAATTAACAAAAAATACTAAAACAAAATAGGATCAAATCACAATACAATTAAAGTTTGAAATTGGAAAAAAAATGTATAGAAAAATTAAGGAGAATATAATTTTAAATGAATTGGATGAAAATAAAAAAATAAAAAAATAAAGTAGTAAATTTTAAATAATAAAAATAATCAACAAAAAACACTTTAAAAAAGGGAACCAAATCACAATATAATTAAAGTTTGAAATTAAAAAAAAAAAGAGATAATTTATATAAAAAAAAAGACAAATTAAAGTAGTAAATCTTAAATAATAAAAATAATTAATAAAAAACACTAAAACAAAATAGGACCAAATCACAATACAATTAAAGTTTGAAATTAAAAAACAAATATAAAAAATTTGAGGATCAAAGTGTTATAAAAATGTCATGAATAGTGAAAGGAATAGTGATTTGTGAGTGTGTGAATAGTGTTTTAAATAATGAATGAATAGTAAAAGCAATAGTTTTATTTTTGTTTTATGCACTAGATTTTTTGCCAGCTATATGTTGTGGGTTGGATAAATTATATAAAAATATTTTAGTTTGATACCCTATTTTATTGTGTGAATCTATAAAAATATATGAAATCAAACGTGAAAAAACATATTTAAAATTTTTTTAATGTAATTTTAAATTCAATGGGTGAGAATCTTTTAAAAATGACAAATTAAAGTAGTAAATTTTAAATAATAAAAATAATTAACAAAAAAAAATACTAAAACAAAATGGGATCAAATCACAATACAATTAACATTTGAAATTAAAAAAATATATTGTACAAAAAAAAATTCGATGCAATTTTTTTTAAAATTTTAAACTTTAATTGTATTATGATTTAGTCCCATTTTGTTTTAGCATTTTTTATTATTTTTATTATTTAAAATCTATAACTTTAATTTGTAATTTTTTTTTAAATTCTCATCCAATTAATTTAAAATTACATTTAATGACGAGTTTTGGTTTATTTTAATATTATCACTTTTGGTTTATTTAATTATTAAAAAATTTATTATTTTAAAATTTATGGAAAAAAAGAATATATATATATAAAGGAGGACAAGCGCACGGTTGGCTTGTACAACCAGGTTGCACTTCAAAAAAAAAGAAGGATTGAAACTTCTAACGAACTCGATTTCGTCAAAATCATTGCTGAAAAATCGAGGGTCAAGTTTGAGACTCCTACAAATTGAATTTCGGTATTATTTTTTTTCCACAAACACCTCTAAATTACCTTTAATAAAGTTAATAAATATATTTAAAACCTTAAAAATCATTTTAATGCACATGAAAACAAAGAAAAATATACAATCAAATTTGATCTTTTTTTTCTTTTTTGACTACGGTCTACTTCCTCTAGTTGTTTAATGGCTTGAAACAACCATAGATAAACTCATCTCTCAAAGATAAAAAAAAACTAGTGGATTTTCGCCGATCAAAATGGCCTAAATAAGCTTGGCTGATGATCTCTCTCTCCTCTTGTCTCTTTCTTCCCCCTCTCTTCTCTCTACACTCGGGGACCAAAATGGATTAGCAAATAAAAATATAGATCGAAATATTCATTTGATAATATCAGGGACCAAAGTGTAAAAAAAGTTATGAATAGTAAAAAGAATAGTAAAATGTGAGTGTGTGAATAGTGTTTAGAACAGTAAACCATTGTTTTGTTTTAATTGTTTTATTAATAATAATTTGATGAGAGATTTAATATTTTTAGTCTTCTATTGGTGATCTGTTTTTGTCGCCCGTTGTTAGTCTTGGTACTTTCGGTCTAGGATTCTTGTTCCGATTTTGGAATTCTGTCACTTCTTTTCTGCTGTTTTTTTTTTCTCGCATTGGTTGCTTGCGTTGACAATTTATTGTTTCTTTTTGGAGGCTTTAATTTATTTATTTTTCCCTTCAAGTGAAACAAGCTGATTTAGGCATCACAGTTTTTTCATTGACAATTTTCAGGAAATTGAAGTAGTGAAAGCTAGCAATATTATTACAAATATCTGTGGCAACTTGGCGGAGCCCGTAATTTCAAGAATCTAATAGTACAAAGTCATGAAAGCAGGTGCACATCTTTAACTAGCGACCTTCAATGTCAGTCATTGTGACATTTAAACAACCAGACCCTGCTACTTGAGGGCTACTGCAAGGTTCTCTCAAAACGAATGCAGGTTGTTCTGGAGAAGGAATAGTTGTTTCACTACTATTCAACATGAAATCAACTGCTAACATGGAGGGTCTGTCCATTGCATCTTCTTGCACACACAAGAGACCGATTTGAAGGCATTTCAAAGCTTCTTGGGGATGATACAACTCCTGCAGTGATGAATCAACTATCTCCAACGCTCTGTCTTCCTTCCACAGCTCCCAGACCTGTGTGATTCATAGCATTAACGTACAGGAGGAGATCAAATTTTAACGTTAGGTGGAGTGCTCAAAGCCTCTTACCTGTCCAATCAAGGTCTGGGAAGGATTCTGTGGATTAAATTTACTGTTCTTCTTGCCACTTACAATCTCCAGTAAAATGACCCCAAAACTAAACACATCTGATTTTACTGAAAATTTTCCGAACACTGCATACTCTGGTGACATATAGCCACTGCATGAGAACAAGGTGAAAGATTTTTAGTTAATGTTATCATTAATGGTAATAATTCATGAATGGTATCCTGTAAATCTCTCTTCGGGTGAGCAAATGTACTTACAATGTTCCCACAACTCTTTTTGTTTTGTCCAGAATTTGGTCCCTTTTGAATATTCTAGCCATCCCAAAATCTGAAATTTTGGGATTCATCTCTGCATCCAATAGAATGTTACTGCATTTTAAGTCTCTATGAATGATTCTCAACCTTGAGTCCTGGTGAAGGTATAGGATTCCACGAGCGATACCAACAATAATGTCGAACCGTTTGGTCCAATCCAAGAACAACTTTCCTGTTTCATCTGTAACAAACACGACATTTCACTTTTCGTTTGAACTACTGTAAACTGATGTATACTGTCGAATATCGATAAAAGCACTTGCCAAAAAGAAATGAATCCAAGCTTTTGTTTGGCAAGTATTCATAAATCAGCATTTGTTCTCCTCCCTGAACGCAACAGCCTAGAAGTTTCACAAGATTCCGGTGCTGAAGTTTTGCAATTACTTTAACCTCATTTGTAAATTCTTCTTTTCCTTGTCTTGAATTTTTTGATAGTCTCTTTACAGCAATCTTCTCACCATTAGGTAGCAGACCCTAAAATCATATGACTAGAGTCAGCTTCTATAACTCTGAATAATCAGTTCAGACACAAATTTCCTCTTACAAAAATCCAATTGTAACAAAGACTAAAGACACGTTTGAGATATTGCATAGGAGATGACCTTATAGACTGAGCCAAAACCACCTTGTCCAAGTTTGTTATCCGGGAAAAAGTTGTGGGTTGCAGCAGATATTGTGCTGAGTTTGAAAAAAGCCAAATCTTGATCACTGCAACTTCTCCGGAGCTCATTCGCCACCCACGTACCTATTTAGAAGATTTAATTAAAAAAAAAAAATTAACAGAGTAACATATATATGCTCAGGAAGTAAAAAAATGCTGGACATATATATGCTTCATTACAAGAACTGCATCTGCAAAAATTATTTTTGGCAGGTAACATATACAGTCGAGAAAAATATCCAATAGCTGCGGATATCGCATATAGCAACCCTGTGTTTATGCAGCTAAACTTATATTTCAGATTTTAACTTCTTCCTAATCACTTTATCCACTCTGCTTAGAAGTGCTTGCTCTGTCTTACCTTTATTTCCTCTCTTCTTAAGCCAAAAATACGCACGTATGCTAACTACCAGCAAAGCTGAAGCAACAGAGGGTATTAGAATGGCGGAAATCTCCTTTCCAAGAAAGTCATTTGATTTCCTTGCATTCTCAGCTGCATGAAAGTGAAAAGAGCGAAAAAAATTCAAAATTTAGAATGGCTAATAATACAACTTGTTGCAAAATTTAGTACAAAGCAAGAATACAGTACCTAATTCAATTGTATCAACACGAACATACAGTTCATATCTGTCACTCATTTTAAATCGAACTGCGTCTCTTAATTCTCCATACCATGTCAAACAACCTCTCCCTTTGTCGGGAATATCTATACTTGCGTATGCCGAACATGAACAATTCCTTTTGCATTCCCGTTCACAGTTAGCCTGACTCGTGCTCATATCCACCCAAACTGCTGCTGAAGTATCAGGAAGAAATACAATCTCCACCTTCACAAACCCTTCTCCATGCATGCACACCGAGGAAGACTCTAGCCGCTTCCTGACACAACCAGCGGATCCGTTTCTCAGCAGCCAATCACTTGGATTCTTGGGCTCGTACCCAGGTAAACAACTACATTCGAATTTGTTAATATCAGTAGGTTCACAAGTGCTATAAGCACCACACCATCCATACGAGTCGCACTGAGACCGAGGTGCCCTCCAAACCTCCTTCCACTGGCCATCGCTTTCATCCCATTTTACTGATTTAACAAATCCCGAATGATCCACTAATAGCCTTCCCATAATAGAATCATCATCAGGGATAACGGATGTGATGCCTATCTCATCTTGATCATTTACAAATTTAGCGTTGTATATATTCCTAAGTGGTCTCCAAGGCCACGGAGAAGTTCGCGAGACACGTTTTTCACCTTTGTAGAGAAAGAATTGTGGGGAACCACTGGGGTTAACCTTAAATGAGTAGTCTCCAACTCCAGGGTCGTCAGCTGATCTCCACGATGTTAGGAACCTATCAAGACCTGTTCTTAGATCCAGCCCAATTTTCATTCCTGGTAATGCATAGTGTGTTGGATAATGAAAGCTTTGCCAAACGATGTTTCCACTTTCTTGAACCAAAATAAGATTTCCTGAATCTAAAAGCTGAGCTACAGAAGTATCAGCTTCTTCCCCTGAAACATTTGCAGACCATACTGAAACATTTTGATTGCTGTCACTGTACAGAACGAGGTTTCCATATTTATCAAATGACAAAACCCCTGACGAGCCAATGATTGGATTGTTCCTGTTTGCTACCCACACCACCGTTTGATCTGGTATTTTATAGTACCAAATTCCAAGATACCTATTACTAGATTTTCCCGGACTGAAAAATCCAAGTGCAAAATTATTTCCTTTGGATATCAAAAATTCACCATCTTTGACGAACTGGTTGGTGTTTATGGAGTCCTTGGAAGTGCAAAAAATGACTTGGAGGATCAGCAGAAAAGAATGCAGAACCAGTCTTTCAGCATTCATTTGAGCTTTTGGTCTTGTTTTTTGGCTGAAACCTGGTGTCAATTCTTGCTTGGTGGAGGTGAAACTTCAAACAAGATGATAGACCTTGACTTCTTTGGCTGAAACTGGTGTTAATTCTTGCTTGGTGGAGGTGAAACTTCAAACAAGATGATAGACCTTGACTTCTTTGGCTGTAACTACGTTTCTACTCGCTAGCATTCTTCCAAAATATGGTCTAAGGCATAGGCTACGGAAAATGTATGATCCTTAGAATTTAAAAAATTCTTGTCTACCACTAACTATCCATCAATCACTTTCTTGTCATCAAATTTTCGATTCATTGGTCTGAGATATGATAAATATCTCTTAACATGTGTCGTGAAGCTTTAAGTTAGAGAAATTCTTTTTATTTTTCGTCATTTAAGGTTAACTTTAGAGAAATTTTAAAATATTAATTTAAAGAATAATTTACAATAATTATTTTCCGAATTCATTTTTTATAGGAGACATACTTTGACTGAATCCACAAAAATAATAAAAATATTTTTACTTAAATTTATTTTTTAATTTTTTTTCTTTTTATCTATTTTTCCATAGAACAAGTGTTGTTAATTACTCTTGTAATAAGATAAAATTTATGGGTAAGTTTGAATTTAAAAAAAGATCCTGATGATCATGGGATGCATTGATCAAGAAAGTACCATCGAAAATTGCAAGTATTAATTAATACTTTGACTGAATACTTTGTTTTTTTTTTTGGTAATATATATATAAACACAATAGCACATTTATCAAAAAAAAAAAAAAAAATTGATTTCGAGAGTCAAAACATTGAAGTGTTAAAGTACTCAAGTTTTTTTCAGTAAAAATGAATTCTAAGTTTAACTTAAAAATCTTTTTGTCAAAAAATGGACGTGGTGTTTGATCTGGTCCAACCAATTCACGTTTTGGGCTTTTTTTTTTTTTTTTTTTTTTTTTTTTTTTTTGTGTGTGGAAACATTAACTCAAAAAATATGTAACTAATACCTGAAAATATTGAATTTTTAAAATTTATAATAAAATATTTTATTTTCGTAATAATTTTTTAAAAAGAAAAAATCCATTTGTTTAATTAAGATGAATTGGTTTTTTAAAACCAATTAAAATGCTTTATTTTTATTTAAAATGTTATTTATCAATTAATTATAATACTATTTTGGAGATAACTGTCCCTCAAAAACAAAAATCCCATATCTGGACTTAAGATGATCAGTATAAATCGACACAATTGAAAATTTTGGCATATCCATACGGGAAAAAAAAAATTATGCACTCGATTGATTGATGAAGAGTGAAAACTTGATACACAAACAATGAAATTATTTCTTCCAGAACACTATTTTAAGGCTAAAACGGCAAACCTTTTCTAAAGTTTAATCTATTTAAAAATTAGTTTTTGAATTTTTAATTTTTTTTAAAAAATTAGTGCATCCTTTAGTTTTATGTCATTTATTTTAAAAACTAACAATTATAAAAATAATCTCATGATGGAAATAATTTAGTAAAATTTATCTATAGCGCTTTATAAATTTTTAATTTATATTTTGATTTTTTGATTTTTTTTTTAAAATTAGTGCATCCTTCAGTTTTATGTCATTTATTCTAAAAAATAACAACTACATAAATAATCTCATGATGGAAATTATTTAGTAAAATTTATTTGTAGCTCTCTAAAATATTTTAGATTATTTAGAGTTATTTTTTATTTTTCTTGAATTTTTCACATTTTTAATGTCTTAAAAATAAAAAAATATAATTTTTTACCTTGAAAAATTCTAAAATTTATCTAAAAATAGATTGGATTTTTCTTATGTGTGTGCAAAATTTTAAATCAAAATATCAAAAATGAATTTAAAAAAATATATATATAATTAAAAAGAGTAGTGCTACATGACACCAATGGTGTAAAAAAAAAAAAAAGTCATCATAATTTTATAAGTATAGTGTTTTCTTAGAGAAATACAAAGAATGATACTTTATTTCAATAAGTATTATGTCATTTTATATTTTCACTTTTTAAATTTATTTTAAATCTTTTCTATTTTTGGAAATGGTATCTATTATCATGGTGTCGCCAAGAATTTTCTAAATGAAAATCATAAGATAGAATAAATTTTTTTAAAAATACAAATTAAAAATTAAAAAATTATTTTTTAAATTATTTCATGAAGAATTGATCTTTTACGCAGCATTTGAACAGCTAGCCTTGTTTTGCTGTTTTTTTTGGTCATACGAAAAAACAAAGTAAAGTTGACTGACGAACAAAACATGGGCTGCTGAGGCTGACGAAGAATACCAGTAGCGTCTCCCATCAACTAAAAGATGACAGGCATCTAATTTATCACCATATATTTTGATGAGTTTGTCAAACATTGTAATAAGTGGTGTTCTATTCTTTGATAATGTTCTTAACCGATCAAATAATAGCAAACATCACATATTAAAATGACAAATCTAACCCTTTTTGTTTCTGGAAGAGAAAAAGAAATAGCTCCCCTAATAAATAACAAGAACATTAATACAATAGTAGTAAAAATAATAAGATTCCTTCAAGCACGAGAGTTTGCCAAAAAAAACACCCCTGAGTATTTTAGTTTTGGAAATAAAGACTAAATAATTCGTTTTTCAAAATCAAAAGGACTAATTTATAATTTAATCACGAAATTACTTATAATTTTTTTTAAAAAAAAAAACTATACATTAATCTAGTCCGAAGTGGCATATGATTTATTATTTTTTTTATTTTACATATTTGATTTCGCATCATTTTTTTAAATCTAGATAAAGATAAATTATATATATCAAAATTAAAGAATTTAATTATATGAGAATTAATGTTAACAAATTAACCTTCTCTTTTTAATCCTTAAAACAAATGGCCTTAAACGGTCTGGATTCTTGATCATATATACGACTTACCATTTTGCATTAATTTCGATTTCAAATTATGCGTTGGACTGGTTTGGATTGAGTTTGGGCTGGTCTTAGGTCAGGCCTTACCATTTTACATATTTGATTCAAGGCCTTGATGCCCAACCTGAGTATTTTAGTTTTTTTTTTAATAAATTAAAAATTATTATTTTTGAAAATGATATAATTTTTTCAAATTGTTAATAAATAAAAATAACAACAAACTCAAAATTTTTTTAAGAAATTCAAAATACCCAGCTGTTATTATTTTTTCTGGAAAGTTTGAAGGCTAACATATATATATATATATATATATATATATATATATATATATATATATATATATATATATATATATATATATATAGTTTTAAAATTCCTTGACAACAAAATTTTTGAAGCGTTTACCACTAAAATGTTTTTAAAAATATTTAAGAAACCATAAATTCTAAATTTTTCAAATTTGTTATATTTCTAATACATTTTATTACATCATATCCTTTTTATTTCCTCGAATTTTGAATAATTTCAATCACTAAGAATTCCACAAAAAAATTTAGATTTTCTTATCTATTAATATATTTCAAAAGCTTAAATATTTTAAGATTTTAATTGTTTTCTTAATCATTTTATATATATATATATATTAATGATTAAGTATCTTTAGATTTATTTTTATTTCTTAAAACTTTTATTTTTAAGAATACTAAACTTTTTTGTTACTTAAAACTTTTGTATATGAATATTTGATTTTTTTAATACATCATATCCTTTTTCTAAGCTTTATTGAACCGATCCTAGAGGCAACCAAGAGAGGAAGAAAAGGGGGAAGAGTTGCTAGCTCCCATAGATGGTTCTAGATTCGCAAGAGAGAAGGAAAATGGGAAAAAGTTCTAGGTCTCATTCTTAGTCAAAAAAAGAGGGCTTATAAAAGAGGGAGTTTTAGGTTATTTATGATAGTAAACATAAAAATAACAAGAGAGAAAAACTAAATTACTAAGGAAAACCTACCTTGAGAGAGAGAGAGAGAGAGAGAGATAGAGTTTGGTAGAGAAGAAGAGAGAAACAGACTTGGCTAAGCGGAGAAAAGAATTGGGTAGCCAAGGCCGAGAGGGAAACAAGAGAGAAAGAAGAGACCTTTGAGAGCTTCGAGGTGCTTTTAACAATAGCTAAATCCTAAGGTAAGTGTAATCTCAACACATCATAAGACATAGTTGTCATAGGGTTGATGTGTTTATAAATTGATGTTTTTTATGTGATTATGTGCTTACTTGATATTCATGTGTCTATGTGTTAATTTAATAATTGATAATGTAACTTAATTCATCACAAGACATAGAACAAACATGATTTAGTGTTTTTATGTTTAATCGATGGTTGAATACTTCGATGGAGTGTAAATTCATGGTTTAAGGTTAGGTGATACTTGCTTGATCATGTGTTCATGGCTTTACGTTCTTGTGTTTATTTTATGTTACTTGGTTGTGTTCATAATTATGTTTAAGGATATTTAGTTATATGTTCATGTCAATATTATGCTTGATAATACTTAGTCATATGTTATGTGTTTACTTAAGGTCTTGCATTTAGAATGCTTTCACACTATGAGAATGTTTTTATCATATTTTTAGGCATTCAAAGGAAGGACAAATGCATATTTTTAAGAAGAGGGCTTGCGAGGAGAATGATCCGGTATATGCTCATTGCCAAACTAACGACCGACATATTCAAAGAGGGCATGATGGCATACAAAGAGAATGATCCGATGTATGCTCTTTGTATTTTCGGAGAGGGCATGCGAAAGGAATGATCCGGTGTATCCTTGTAGTATTTTCAAAGATGTCTCACAAAGGGAATGGTCTAGTGTATACTAATTGTGGAAAAAAAGGATTGGATATGTCCGGTGATTTTTATGATTTTTCATAAATTATGGTTTTTTTATGAGGAATGCATATATAGACATTTAGCAGGATGCATTCGAATCAAAGAAAATATATTTCAATAGCATAAAAATGTATTTCCTTACATTTATACATGATTACATGTATCGAGCATTAGTTCATAATTTGTCT